AATTCGATTTTTGTGAAAATAAATGATTTTGCATATTTTTTCGGGGAGGATGAGTTGTTTGTGATAGATTTACATAATTATAATTGTGTTCTGCAAAATTGTTTTTTTGTGAGTGTTTTTCGTGTTTTAATGGTTTCGTCATTGGTCTATATGTCTGTAATCCATATGTGAATGTTTTGGAGCAACCGAGGGTTTAACCGTAGATTGCAAAGTTATTTTTGGTAATGTTGGATTTTTACTTTTTGGCGTTGTAAGGTTTGGATGTTCTGATGAAATACTTTGTTGTATAGTTGTTACTATTTTTTCAACCATTTCCTCATTCATAAAATGTGATGGTGTTTGAATATCCTGTTTTGTAAGATTTCTAGTTGCATTCAGATTTTCTTGTTGTATAATAGTTGAATTTAAACTATTATTTTGTCTTCTATCGGGTAAAAATGAATCATAGTTTAAAGGTGTTGCATCTATTGTAAGTGGAAATATTTTTACATAGTCTTTATGAATAGATATCGTACTGATTGCTTGACTTGAGATGTCTATTGGGATGTTCAGAAATAGTGGATGAGACCAGTCAGGGTCTAAAATATAATCTTATTGTTCTGCAATGAAAGTGTCATCATTGGTACTTTGAGGTCTAAAATTTTTTCCTGCTTGTGCAAATAAATCATTATTATGTGTGAAATAGTCAATTATAAACCATGCTAAGATCTTTTGTAAATCGTGTTTAACCTTTTGTGAAAATTCATTAGTTGAAAAGTTTTCACGGAATGTGTTTAAAAATGTTCAGAATGCGGCAATTTTGTTTCTTACATTCGTGTGTCTTGATGTTTGAACTGGTGACGTACTTTGGGTTTCTGTCTTTTCTAGTATGGATAGATAACTATATATTATTGCAAAAACATCGTTAGTAAATATTGAATTTGCTCTCTGTGAATTTTGATGTTGTATGTTTTTAATGTATTCTGCGAAAACTTTTGAAAATTCTATGTCGACGTCGTCTGTTTGAATAACATATTTACCATGAAATTTACTTGCTGTACTTAGTTCTATGGTGTAAATTCCTTATTGTTGTGTTAGGTTACATATGCCTTGTAAAATAATGATCGACAGTTTGTCTTTTGATTTTTATTTCTGGGAATTCTGCATTACATAGGCTAATTCCTTGTTCGAATAAATTTGCGAATAGATTATTGCAAATTTGTATTTGTCCGCTATCGTCAATGAGTGAATTGATGAGAAATAGAGAAACAGAATTTTCGTCTCGGCTTACTTAACTTTGATTTTGGCTCATTTTTTCGTTCTATGACTGTTAGTGCCTAATGTTCAATATGTCTGATTGGTTGATTCCATTTGTATAGACGTACTGGTTTATTTTTGTATATCTTTTTTTTTTCTTCTTTTTCCTTGTTTTGATGAATGAGATGAGGCTTCTGAGTCGGAGAAAGAGAAATGATCATGGACTGGGTAGTTTTTTTTATTGTTTTTTTTAGTTTGTAAAGTGCTTCTAAATTACTAACTTCTGAATCGGAGACTGCATTTCTTCGCTTTGAAAATCTTTTGCGTGTAATTTGTCTTTGTTGATTTATAAGTTTTCTTTTTATTGTTTGTCGTTTTTTTTCGAATATAACCAACTGTTAGTTTGTGTGGAGTGATTACGAGATCATATGTTTCGTTGTTTATTTCACAATTGTGTAGTACGATTGTTTGCTTATTTCCTAAATTGTTCAGTGTCATAAGGTTTAGGATGAAGGATGCAAGGTTGTTATTAGTGATTTAAATATCCTAGACTCCTAGTCTTTACTATGTTTTTCGGGTTAGCCTAACTTGGGTCTTTTATTCAGGGTTGGAGAGAAAAGCATATATCGATTCCGAAGAATGATTTTCACTTTCTCGTGGCTAGTCTAAGTTAAGGTGTTAACTTGCATAATCTTACTTAAGGGTAATGGTTGTGTTCAAGGGTTGGAGAATAGTAAATCGACCCACAAGGTTCAGGTATACTTAGAACGCAAGTTGTTCGTTAGGTACTATTTTGAACTTACTAAGATTAAGATTTAGCCTGGGTCAGGTAAGAGGGGGGATCAAGTGAAGGATGAATAACCGAAGTTTTTCACTGTTTAGCCTGTTTAGAATGGTTAGAGTGATTGGAAAGTTTCTATTAGTCCTGGGTCTTTGTAAGGGTTGGGTAGTGATTCGACGTTTGAGGTCGTTAGACAAGTTATGAATTGGGTTGGGGAGAGCAAAGTTGTTCTATTTGATCCAAGGATAAGACTTGATGATCAGAATATAAATTTTAATGATATAAAATTGGTTAAATGTAAAAAATTAATTGAGATCCAAGGAAAACCTTGATGATATTATTTATGATTGAAAAGGTTTAAATCATCAAAAGGTAAAATTTAGGGTAGGCCTTTAGAAATAATTTAAGTTTAATTGATAGAAAGGTTTAGTATTGTATGATATTAGTGGTTTCTTGATTGCTGTTATGTTTAGATGATGAAGCTGGAGATGACAGGATGATTTGTATATACTAATGATTAAGGATCATGTTAACTAATTTTTATTTTTATTTTCAATAAATATTTTTTTCAGATATATTTTTGAATTTTGCTGCAGTTTTGGAGGAAACATTTTGAGGTGTTTTTATCAATCGTTTTTGTACAATAGCAAGTTTGGTTAAGCAAATGAAATGATCATTGAAGTTTTTTCTTCAAGGATTTCTTGTTTGCAAATAAAAATCTAAATTCATTGCAAGTAAAATTCTAAATATAAAAGTTTGTGTTGGCTTTTGCCGTACGACCATGAAACTTATGGGTAAGTTCCTTTGTATTCGTATATCGTCTCTTGTCCGAGGTCTTTTTCCAATAACGGGTAGTTTTTGTTTTGTTCGGAATAGTGGCTCTGATCTATTGAGTTGTAGAGACATTTCAATTAAGTTATCGTTGTGTAACTTTTTGAGAATGTTTTTTTTTGTCTAAGTCTAATCTATTTGGTTAGTTCTAAGCTAAATTGTTTTTTGAGGTATAATTCGAGACTTTTGGTCGCACCAGATGAGTTTAGATGGGAGGTAAACTCATTAGAGTAATTTCAGATAAGGTACACCGTCTGCTCGTCACGCTATCCTTTTTTCGGCCAGATAGATTTGTGCAGCTTATCAGTCTCATACCGATCTTAATCTTACTCTTATATCTCCTAGTCTCAATAGATCTAGTGTTAACGGGTTTATGCGAGTTAGTTCTTGGAGTTTATCCAGGAGGAGAACAACTGTTTTCAAAGCGTTACTGGATATTTCGATCCAGAGGTGAAAGATTGATCAGAAAAAGAAAAGGTGAAACCTCAAAGAACTATATGTTCCAATTACCGATGCTTAATAACAGTAGTTGTGCCTGCAATATTTCTTAATACATCAGTAACGCACCAAAATGAGCAGCCAAAGCCCAGTCAAGTTTTTCATTATTCTAAAATTCATTGCTTCAAATTCTGAAAGCCAATGCATCGCTACACAAGAAAAATGTTTAAATTTGATTTCAATTTCATTTGAGAAACTGATTGATTGCTAATTTTTCGTTTTTGTACCCAGTTATTCCTGGAAGATACCCATGATGTTTATCACTTTTTCAGTTATTTATCAGAGTTTGTGAATTTTTTCTATTTGAATTAAGAGACAATTAGATCACAAAGAAAAACTGAAAACGTACCAAATGATGCTTTTATACTGAAAACTTCCTCCCAAAATTTATGACTAGTGTCACGAACAAATTTATGTTTTTTTGAAAAAAAAAAATTATACTGATATACTGCCCATATAGCTTAAAAAAACTGGTAACTCAAATCTAATTAAGTGTTTGATGACTATCCAACTGAGTTGTGACGGAAGGTCCAACTCATAGAGTAATTTCAGATAAGGTACACCGTCTGCTCGTCACGCTATCTTATTTTCGGCCGGATAGATTCGTGCAACTTCTTAGTCTAATACCGATCTTAATTTTACTCTTATACCTACTAGTCTCAGGGTGTTTAACTAGTCTCTGCTAGGCTCAATAGAACTAGAGTATACTGGCTTATTGCGATTGCCGAAAGGTCTCTTGGAGAGGTAACTAATTTCTGAGTTAAATTCAAATCTCTCTGGTGCCGAAATCACAAGTAATTTCAGCACTCACAAATAAGTGGGTTGTTAATTAGATGGATCACGATTGGTTAATATTAAATTTTTTAGTGATAAAATATCTAATTTATAACCAATAATAAAATGTAGTTTAGATCTGGTTCCACATGGGCGGCGGCGAAGTTTTGGAAAGAAAACCCCAATTATTAGAGACATTTACGCTCAAAACTTGCTTGAAAGGAGAGATTAGAGTATATTTTTTGCAAAAACATTGTTAAACAGTGTCAGCGGCTTCTAATCCGATTTTTTATTGAAATTTGATGAGCATTGAAAAATTTTTGGACCCTAGAGTATTTAAAAGTGATTTCTGTCTATTATTATGCTAATGATGAACGTATGATTTTCACATTATTTTAGAAGTGGATTGAGTTTGCCCTGTAAAAAAATATGTAAAAATTTGGAATAAATTTCAAAAAAAAATAGCTGAAGATTAAACAGTTCCTGCTACGATTTGAGCAATTTTGAGAGAAAGCTCTACAATTTTTATTAAGTTTGAGCGTTTGCGCGTAATCGGCAAAAAAACCGCACACACTTCAATCTTGGTTTCTGAAAGTCACGCTTTATCAGAACTACTTTTTTTGTCTATCCACCTTCCAGTTTTTTTTGAATTGTTCCAAGATGTAATTTGGGCTCTTTTTGTGGGGGAACATTTCAAAATTTCTTTTTTCCCCTTTTTGTGGATTACGTGTGATTATGGCTGAGTGTGTGATGTTACGATAAGGTATTAAGATACAAATTTGTTCACTGGCAATAATTAAGTTGTTCACCATGCAAAATTTCACAACTGAAAATCAAAGTTAGGAGAGGGGACTGGAAAAGAGCCGTGAAATGTACTCACATAGATACTGAGGTGGACAAAGTGGGCATAGAGTTGGTTGAAGTCTGCTTCGTAAGTTATGTAGCAGACATAAGTGGTAGCATTGCACTCTATGTTCTCGTATGTCGCTGGGTTGACAACTAAAGCAAAACAGAGCAACTACTTTTTTATTTAGCCTCTACTATAGCTTCCCTTAAATTTTGATCTGACAAAACTTTGTTTCATGTCCGTTAAATTGCAAGACAAGTTTGGCGTGCTGTACAAGTTTAACTTATCTCTTTTTGAAAATCAATAAAGCGTCTAAAATATCTGTTTAGAGGGCACCAAATTTTTTTCTCAAATGCAAATTATTTTGAGCTTTTAGCCGATTAGAGCATAAAAATTTCGAAAAAAAAACAAAAGACTTGTCCGGAGATTCATCAGCTGCTCTGAAATTAAAAAGAAGCACGAAAAGGAAATTTCATGTTTTTACCGCTTCAAATAACCAAATACTTAACTCTAATTAAAACCAGCTTTAAACTCACTTTTCAACTGGAGCTGAGTTATTAAATTCTCAATTCTTACAAGACTGCTCGTACCAGTACCTCGTTCAGACCGCCTTTTAATGTTTATGGAGCAGTAATAACATTTAAGAAATTAAATGAAATAAAACAAAATGAAAATTTTTTTTTCTAAAATTTGAATTTTTTTAAATAAAAATCATCCCCCCACATATAAAGTACAAAAGGATCAATTTCGCTACTTGTAACAAATCAATTATGGCAAATAAGCTTCTTTCAACCAATTTGGAACAATTTCTAAGACGGATTAACTCTCCGCTTACGCGTTAAAAGAGCGAAATATATCGCGCGTTAATTGTCCCAAATTGGCCAAAATGGCAATCTTTAAACCCCCGTAACTTTACAAAAAATGATCACAGGTAAAATATCTTTTCAAGTTTAAGCTCAGGACAACATTACTTTTCGAGTGATATAAAAAAATTCCGTCAAAAATGGCTAGTTAAAAAGTCGAAATTTGTGTGAAGAAAAAAAACCCACCCCGAGCACAAATATTCCGTTACTTTCGTAACGAAAGTCGGAACAATAATATGCATTGTTGTTCAATATGACTTTTTGTCCCCTTTTGTTAGTTAAGACACAATTAACGTTTTGTTCCGACCACTGAAAATGGGAGGACTTTTGTATCCGGGTGTGTTTTCGTTTTTTCTTTTTGTTCTCTGCGAAAAATCAGGAACCATAAGTAATTATCGGACTGGGTTGAGTAACCTTTCATAATAAAACCGTTTCAGTCTATACTAGTTTGAAAAAAAAAATTTTTTAAGACCATGGTCGGAAAAATTTGAGCTATTTGCACAGTAACCGGCTATCTTTGTTTGTGTCGCATTTAATGGAGCTTATTGTTAGTTCTAAGCAAAATGCACGTGTTCTACAAAATGAATCAAGTTTAGCGCCGGAGCAAGTTTTTATTTGCCTAGTGGGGGAATAAATAGAGTCTACGCAAACTCGTATCGCACTTGTTAAACTATTCATTTTACTTGCACTGCTTCCTGTGTTACTTATCAATCAATTAACCAAAATTTAACCTGGAAAAAAAAACTAGTTCTACCCCAACATTCAGTGGTCCTCAAGATTTCAAAAATTGATATATAGACGAAAATGAATTTCTAGGAATCAGGACTACAATTCACACTATCCCGCAACCCCTCTTCAATGAAAGCTCGGTGTTTTGTCCCATGTGGGATAAATTCAACACATATTGTTCAAAATAACAAATTTGAGATTTGAACTGATGTCGAATGGCGCAAATTAACATCATTTGTTTGACTAACTGACTGTACCATGTGACTGGTTTCTTTTTGTGATAGAAGCGCTCTCTTGTATTGAGTCAAAGGAAAGCTGAACTGTTAAAACTTCTAAAAGGTTATATGGAAGTCGAATTGATGTAGTTTTAACCGAAAACTCAATTCTTAATTCATCAAATGTATGCTCTTATTTTCCTTCGATGATAAGTTGAGATATGGTGCTTTTGGCCTTAGTGGGATCGAGTCTACTGGGGCATTCTATTTTGGAGGTTTTTATCCTGGAAGGTTTTGTCCTGGTGGATTGAATCCTGGAAGAAACAGTCCTAAACTAGTCAAAATTTAAGATGAAACCGTAGTCATTATAATGATTGTTTTGAAGCAGTCACAGTTATTGAGTTTAGAAGTTGCAAAAAAAGTGTCCGGGTTGACTTTCCTACACAAAAATTGCTTGTCATGCAATTGCATTCAATGAAAATGGTTATCATGTATTTCATACACGAAGAGTATGTAAGAAACGATCACTTTTTAATTTTTCACTTGCTCACATGAAATTTTTTTATAAAAGCACTTGAAACGCTAAATATTTCAAATGTCAAAACTCGCAGAAAATTTTATCCTTTTCAATGTTGCTTTATGATTCTTATTTTAAACAAAACTACCAGAAAAAGTTCTAAAGCAAAAATGTTTGCATTTTATCTATAACGTAGTCCATAGTGAATATTTCGTGTATAACCAAATTGAAAAATTAGTTTGGTATGATAGACCAATTTTAGTCTAAACTCAATTTTAGTCTAAGCTTTAAACTTCATTCTGGCCAAAAATATTGGCAAAATTGAAAAACTTTGTGATAGAAAAGCTTCTTAGACATGTTAAGGTCTTTGCAAAAATTTTTTCGCGAAGTTCTTTACAAAAAACCGGTTTTTTCAAAATTTCAAGATAGCAAATCTTCCTATAGAGTTAACCTGCAAGAATGCTGTCTTCTAACCAGTGGTTTTTAGGAAAAATTTTGATTCTTGAGTTTCGACAAAAAAAAATTCAAAACTCGAAAAATTTATATCTTATATATCAAAATTTTTAGTCTGACAAATTTTCTCCTATGCGAAACGGTTTATTGTTGAGACTTCATATAACTTTTTGTACCTATGGAATTATATGACAAAAAATTCAGAATGGAAATATGGAAATTATATGGCTCAAAATTTTAGTCCACAGGGGCGCATGGGTTATTAGGTTTTTAGGTCTTTAGGTCTGTTAAGATTCAGAGTTAGAGCAAGTAGGACTAGGGGATAGAGGTTTGAGAGTTATCTGAGGTTTCAACTGAGGAGAGAGAAGAGATACTGATTGTTGAAGAATGAATTGAGATTGTGTTTATAAAATGACACGACAAACTGAGCATCAAATAGTACCAGTTAATTAATTACCAGTTAATTAATTAGTTTATCAAATACCAGCAGACCAGTTGACCTTGTCTGAGTGCATTGAGTTTTATACCAGTTGACCTTTAATTAGGTTTCTATTGCTCAAGTCTGACCTTGAGTTTGGTCTGGTATTTCACTAGTCTGGCATTGAGCTCGTCTGTCCTCAACACCCCCACTCAGGCTGAATTGGCTTTGTCCAATGTCAGGCTGCAACCCATCAGCGTTCGACGATGTTGATCCACCTTTGCCTTGCTCAGGGATTTCGTCAACAAGTCAGCCTCCATGTTTTCGGTTGGACAGTACTCGAGCGCAAATGTTCCATCCTCGACCCGCTCTCGGACAAAGTGATACTTGACATCAATGTGCTTTGTACGCTTCTGCATTACGGGATTTTTGCACATCTTGATGCAGCTCTGGTTGTCCTCGTTGATCACAGTTGGACCATCACACGTCATATCCATCTCATTGAGTAGGGATCGTAAGTAGAGGCCTTCCTGAACAGCCGCTGCCATTGCTTGATACTCAGCTTCGCTGGTAGATATTGCTGCAGTAGGTTGCTTCTTGGTACTCCAGCTGATTGCTGCTCCTGACCGCTGCACATGAAAACTGTAGCCTGTTGTTGACCTTCTGTCATCAACGTCACCAGCCCAGTCAGCATCTGCTGAACCATAAAGGTTGAACCCATCAGGATCTTTGATGTAGCACAGCTCCAGATCTTTGGTTCCTTTCAGGTATCGCAGTACTCTCTTAGCAGCCACCCAGTGTGTTCTCCCAGGATTCTCCAGAAACCGTGAAAGTTGAGTCACAGTAGCTAGGATGTCTGGCCTCGTTTGCTTGGCTATGTACAATAACGAGCCCACTATGCCTCTGTAGTCCTCACGCTGCATTGCCACTGCTTCTTCTGAGCCCGCTCCAGGGCAGTCCTTCTTCGTCAACTGAGTGCTGATATCAGCTGGTGTCCCTACTGGTTTGCAGTCAGCCAACCCAAAGCGCTCCAAGCAGTCTTCAATGTAGCAAGACTGATTCACAGTGACAGAACCAGGTGCCCGTTTGACCTGCATTTTCAAAAACCAGGCTAATGGACCGCGATCATCCATCTTGAATCGGTCAGTGAATCGGTCCCTCACCCTGTCAACTTCTGCTTGCAGTTTGCAGCCAATGATGATATCATCCACCCATACTAGAACATAGATCATAGCATCATCCATTCCCCTCATCGTGAACAAACAGAAGTCATTGGTGCTTCGAGTGAAACCAGTCTCCAGAAGAAACGTGCTCAGCGTCTGGTACCAGTCCCTTCCTGCCTGCTTCAGCCCATAGATACTGCGTTGTAGCAAACACACTTGGTTGTCCCCGCTGCTGAACCCCTCGGGCTGTTCCATATACACAGTTTCTGTTAACGGCGAGTTGAGGAAGGCTGACTTCACGTCCATCTGATGAAGTACAAGATCATCTTGCGCTCCCAAAGCCAGTAGTATTCTCTTTGTTTCTGGTTTACAGGTTGGCGCAAAGGTCTCATTGAAGTCCAGTCCTTCCACTTGCATAAAACCCTTCACCACGTATCTGGCTTTAAACCGCTCCACTTGTCCCATTGCATCTCTCTTCACAGCAAGCACCCAGCGTCCAGGAATGACCTTGCGAGAATTTGGTCTATCAACAAGTGTCCAGGTGCCCATTGCCTTCAGTGACTGCACCTCCAAAGCCATAGCTGCTAGCCACTGCTCCCTTTCTGGTCCAGATACTGCTTCCAAGTAGCTTCTTGGCTCTTGTGCTATCACTGAAGCATGAGTGTAAGCCAGTCCGTATCGGATGGGAGGGTTCCGCGTTCTAGTTGACCGCTGCTCTGGAATCTCTGTTGGCCTCTGCTCTGGAGGCTCTGTGGAAGGTGGTTCCAATTCTTCAGTCTCGACTGGGTCATCTTCCGTAACCCCCACTGAAGCTGCTGCTCCACTATCATTCGCTTTATTGGTAGACTCAGTGATGGCCTTCGTGCTAGTTTCCTCTACATCAATGCATCCCTCGATTGATAGACCCAGTGTTTGTGACTGCTCACTGTCTACCAGAAAGTCGTCTGGAATGATGTCTTCATTGAACGTCACGCTTCTTGCTCGTACCACTCGCTTTGTCTCCAGGTCCATCAGCAAGTAGGCTTTGCTCTCCTCGTCATAACCAATGAACTTGCTCTTCTTGCCTTTCGGATCCAGTTTCCGCCGGTTTCCTCTGTCCAGGTAGTACGCCAGGCATCCGAACACTCGCAGGTAGTTGACTTTCGATGGCTTCCCATAATGCATCTCCATTGATGAAATGCGATGCTCATTGCTGGATGTAGGACACAAGTTGCGAACCCTGACTGCCGTTGACATTGCTCGTACCCAGAACATCTTTGAGAGCTTTGCATCGGCCAGTAGACATCGAGTCATCTCAGTTATCACCCTGTTGTACCTCTCTGCCACGCCATTCTGTTGCGGAGTATTAGGTACTGTAAACTCCTGTTTCACCTGCATTTCTCTACAGAACATCCGAAAAGCATTCGACGAATACTCACCTCCGTTGTCAGTTCTCAAGCACTTCGGTGTTCCGTGCTCAGCTACAAAGTCTTTGAACTTCGAAAGAGTATCGCTCTTCTTAACCAGGTACTTGACCACTGCCAGACGGCTGAAGTCATCAATGAAGCTCACGGCATAGCGCGCTCCATGCATGCTCGCAACTTCAAATGGTCCCTGGATGTCGCTGAAGACCCGCTGCCCCACTGCAGTTGCCCTGTTCTCTGTCTTCTTTGGCATTGCTACTTCGTGCATCTTCGAAGCTGTGCACACTTCGCAGAACCCTAGCTCGCCGACATCAACAACTGATATTAGATCATGCTTGTTGAGATGCCCCAGCCTTCGGTGCCACAGCATTGCACTACTTGTCTCCATCTTCGCTTTCGTAGCTAGAGTCATCGCGTTCCTCTTGAACTTGCACTCCAGGAAGAAAAGCTTGCCGCGCTGCTTCACTGGTAGCCGTCGACCATCCGGTGCCACAAGATGAGAAGAGTCTGATGTAAAGCTGAAACTAGACCCTCTAGCTATTGCTGAGCTCACACTCATCAGATTCACGTTGTAGCTCGGCACAAACAGCACATTGTGGAAAGTGTAGCTCCTCGTCACATCTTGACAGTCTCGTATGTCCACTTCCACCGAGCCTATGCCCTCAATCTTTGATATTGTACCGTTCGGATTCTCAACTGTTGTCCCCTCATCCCATTTCTCAAAGCTTGAGAAGACAGCCTTGTCGCGCACTACATGATCGGTGCATCCCGTATCCACAATGAGATCATCTCCCTTCATTGAGGTTGTTGCACAACAACTGAAGAACCCTGTCTTTGCCTGCTTGCAGTCCCTTGCAAAGTGTCCTTGCTGTCCACACTTGAAGCACCCTTGCTTCCTTGAAGTTGGACCACTTGCTTCATTCGAGCCACTGCCTCGAGCACCAGATTGACCACTGTCACTTCTGGATCTGCAATCTCTTGCCAAATGACCCTTCTGACCGCACACAAAACAGCCACCACCCGACGCTCCTTTCTTCTTCCTCACAGCTTGCATAGCTATGTGTCCATTCCCAGTCTTCTCTCCACATCGAGCTCGTCTCGAGTCATCATAGTTCCTCAACCTCGTTCTCAGCTCTGTAAAAGTCTTGGCCGGCTGGAAGCTCTCCTGCACCACGAAATGCTCAAAGCTGTCAGGCAGTCCGTTGATCACGAGCGCATTGAAGAGTGTGTCCGTAATTGCTTCCCCAGCTTCACTCAGCCGCGTCATCAGCTCTTGACTTCGAACGAAGTAGTCATCGAGATCCTCCTCTGATCCTAGGCGCAGCTTCGCAAGCTGGCCTACTAGACTGACCACTGTAGGCCTCTCCACACTGCAAAACTTCTCTTGCAGCAGTCTCCAGGCCTTCGTCCCATCGCCATAGCCATCCGCAGCCACGCAGTCGTTCTTGATGTACATCAGTGTGGTGTTGTTCAGGACCAGAGCTAGATGTGACCACACTGTGTTTCGGTTGTCTTTCCTCTGCTGGATCAGCACAGCTCGCTCCTGCATCTTGGTGTTGTACGCCGTCATCTGGTCAGCATTCGGATTCTCAGGTAGCGTAGGTTCAGCTTCTGGTAGATCGTCATTGCCCATCACAGTCCTGAACAGGCCTTTGGTATGCATCAGTGCCACAAACTTCGTCGACCAAGCTGGAAAATCTTCAGACTTTCCACTGAATCCAGCCAGTTTCAAGTCCATCTCTGCTTTGCTAAAGGCTAGATAAAAGCTAAAAAAAACTCTGACAGAAATCAAATAATTATTAAATCAAAAAGTTTAGAAATCTGGGCCCATAACCTGTTAAGATTCAGAGTTAGAGCAAGTAGGACTAGGGGATAGAGGTTTGAGAGTTATCTGAGGTTTCAACTGAGGAGAGAGAAGAGATACTGATCGTTGAAGAATGAATTGAGATTGTGTTTATAAAATGACACGACAAACTGAGCATCAAATAGTACCAGTTAATTAATTACCAGTTAATTAATTAGTTTATCAAATACCAGCAGACCAGTTGACCTTGTCTGAGTGCATTGAGTTTTATACCAGTTGACCTTTAATTAGGTTTCTATTGCTCAAGTCTGACCTTGAGTTTGGTCTGGTATTTCACTAGTCTGGCATTGAGCTCGTCTGTCCTCAACAAGGTCTTATGAACGCAAGTCTTTAGGTTCATACATATTATGTGTCTCAGAATCATTCTAGCACAGACTTGTTTGTAATAGCAAAAATTTGAAACGAAACACCACTGATTATAACTCAGGCCTTTGAAAATTGTTGCTTCAATAGCTCTGTCTATTTTACTTAGAACAGCTTTGTTTGCTATCATTGCAGAATAAGTATCTTTGATTTTAATTTTTTATTTAAAAAGAACAAGACTGCTCGTACCAGGGCGAAGCCATGAATGTTCCGACCGCCTTTTAATAATTATGGAGCAGTAATAACATTTAAGATGTTGAATGAAATGAAACAAAATGAATTTTTTTTTAAAAAATTGAATTTTTTAAATGAAAATCATCACCCCACACGCCATATTAAGTACAAAAGGACAGATTTCGCTCCTTGTAACAAAACAATTATGTCAAATAAGCTTCTTTCAACCAATTTGGAACAATTTCTAAGACGGATTAACTCTCCGCTTACGCGTTAATAGCGCGAAATATATCGCGCGTTAATTGTCCCAAATTGGCCAAAATGGCAATCTTTAAACCCTCATAACTTTACAAAAATGATCACAGGTGAAATATCTTTTCGAATTTAAGCTCGAAAGTCGGAACAAAAAGGGCTATATTGAAGTATACCAACGCATCCATACACTAGAATGTCATACTGTGAAGGGGGTGGAAAACAGCCAAGTACCACTTAGGGTACCAAGTCTTATTCAAACTCTCTGAATCTGAGTTTGAAATGATAAAATATAGTTAATTTTCAAGCCTAATGACTTCTATTGACAAGACACAGAAGAGCCTGTTTTGTTATATACATTTGATATATTTTTTTCTAAATTGAAAACCTATGTTTTTTTTTGCTTTCAGCGATTTGCTCATTTTATTAGCTTTCATATTTTAACAAGAGTAGCAATTTTGGGCGAAACTAGTAAAAAGACTACAAGTAGAGTGATCTTTTAGATTATTCAACAGACCCGATTGGTCGAAGGTCTCAGTCCAAGATGAAGTCACTGTGTAGTCCACATCCTCCCAAGTCATCTCATCCCCCGCGACATACTCCGCCTTAAAGCTGGTAGAATTATCAGCGCTGCCCATAGGAGCCTCAGCACACACCACAGCATTCTAAAACACGAACTTAGATCGTAGAGGAAGTTGAACAAGGACTAGTTGGAGGGGCGGGTTTAAGGGGGGGGGGGCCTTGGGCGGACACCCCACTGAGTTATGTTCTAAGGTCTAACTCATAGAGTAATTTCAGATAGGGTACACCGTTTGCTCGCCACGCTATCTTATTTTCGGCCGGATAGATTCGTGCAACTTCTTAATCTAATACCGATCTTAATCTTACTCTTATATCTCTTAGTCTCAATAGATCTAGAGTATACTGGTTTTGATACGATTCGGTCTCTTGGAGAAAGCAACTAGGTTGTAACTTAAATTCAAATCTCTCTGGTGCTGAAATTACAAGTAATTTCAGCATTTACAAATAAGTGGGTTGTTAGTTTGATGGAGTGTGATTGGTTAGCCTTTAATACTTTATAGGGATAAAATATATAAATTATAACCAATAATAAATTATAGTTTGGATCTGGTTCCACCCATTCGGAGTTTACAGAGTTTTTTGTTCTTTGACATCTATCTGTAATGGAGGATGGATGAAGTTCGTTTGTATGTCGCAATCATCATTTTTCTCCGTTCTTGGAGGAGGAAGCTCCAGGAAGCTTGAGTCGTGGATATCATTTTGTCATTCAACATTGACTGTGACCGCCAACAAAATCTTGTTCAGTGGAGAACTGTGTTTCGATTTTGTTTGGGAATGGCGTGAAGCTCGAGCTTGGAGGGGATGCCTTGTAACTCGGATCTGTACATCTTGAACATCGAGGTGGTCGTTGGTCTGATTCAATGAAGTCCTTTGCTGCGATGTCAAGTCGTACTTCAAATCTTTTGAGTTGTGATTATGGGCGGCATATCGGTTGTGTTCAGCCATTCTCTAGTTTGAGAGTGATGGGGTCGGTCGTCTTTCATGCTCGCCTTCTTGATTCTATGTGATCTATGTACTGCACTAGATAATTTTTGTTAGTTCTGTAAATTTTTGTTAGTTCTGTTTTTAATTACGACTTTTTATTAGTTTTTCTCACAAAAGCTTTCAATTTAACTCTGTTATTTTTGAAGAGTTACTCACCCTTGTGTAGCTCTTGTCAAAAATAGGGAGTTGGTCACGAAGCGTGGTTCCTGGCACGGTGGGTTAGGCCGGCTATAAAGCATGCTCAGGACGTCGTCTTCTGGTGGGTTAGGCCAGGAGTGAGAGTACGATTTCATGCTAGTTTTTTGTGGAGTCCTGTTTTGTGTTAACCTTTTATGTTGTGTTCGTTACTGGTTTTTCCTTTTGATGTTTTGGTTGTGCCTTTTTCTCAAAAACCAAAGTATTTGGTTTGGGTTTGTCTTTCGACTTTTTCCTGTTTTATTCTTTCTTTTTTAGATTTATCAGTAGTCTTCAAAAGAATAATTTATCCAGTTCTTAAGCTGGTTTAACCCGGTTTGGGTACCGTGGGTTTTCTTTTCTCAGTCATGCTGTTAGTTTATGGTTTATGGTGTCTAGTAAGCTGCGTTGGTTAGTTTGGATTATTATATGATTCCTTTCCAACCGGGTTAAAAGAAAGTTTGAAACTTGTTAATACTTGTTTGAGTAGTTATTAGTGAAAGTTAAAACTTGAAATTCATTATTTTAAACAACTCGTCGTGGGCGAGCAGTGCGAGTCCGGATAGAACTTGTGTGCAAGTAAAATACGGAAAGGAGTGTCTTTCTGAAAGGTTAGTACTGCTTTCATTTGTATAAATTTACCACTGAGTTTTTTAAACTTACTGCTCTGCGGGGATTGAAATTTCTAATCTATTTTCATTGTTTCTTAGATTTACTACATTAGGGAAAAGAATTTATATATTGACTTACTACTGTGGGAAAGAAATTTTACTGCATCAATCAGTGCGATTTGTTAATAGATGTTTATAAATTATGAAAAGTTTCTAACTTTTATTTGGTTTTTCTGTTTGTAGATGATCGTGATCTGAAGACTAAAGAAAAAGAAAAAACCTTTAATAAAGAAGTTTTAGTTTCATTTCGATTTTGTTAGTTTTTAAATTATTCAATTCATATTTCTTTAGTCATTGGGAAAAAATCCATGGGGGAAAACATCGTGGATGGCATCAGATGTGGTTAGTAGTTTTGCTAACATGCATATGATGTTTTTAGTTTGAAGTAGCGGCCAAAGCAATTGGAGTGCCCTAATGGTTTTTAATTCTTCAGTGCCAATAGAAAATTCGTAGGGTGTGTTTTGGAGAAGGTTAAAAAGCTTCTGATTATATTTAGTATTGTGTATAAATTCTAAATTGAAACTTCGACAGGTTGTATGTATTCGTGCTGGACAATTAGTGGTCGGGATTCTTCTACATTGAAGGTTCTGGTTAGGGGACAGAATATATACATCTGGTTGATGGGATTATAATTACGGAGGATGCCTTGAAAGTTAGTATACTTAATGCAATATGTGAAGTTAAGAAAAAACGAGGATGTGTATTTAGATATAATGAAATGATATCTATGATGGTGTTGTCGTGATAGTGTATGTAAGTCAAATTGATTTTGTATAAACTTATAGTAAGTGTAAGTTTGTGTTTGTTTAGTTCTTAAGATGATGTCATGTGAACAATGCAAATCACGTTCTTTGGGTGTGAGGAAGTTGAAAGTTAGTGAAAAGGTTTCAAATTTTTCGTAAAATGATTCATAAGCTTGAGTATCACAAAGTGCTTCTGAAATGATGTGATCATGTTTCTTATCTATTGAATTGAGCGTGAAAATGTAAGGTGTTTGGATGGAAATATTTTTTCGGTTAGTTGCGGGTTAGCGAACTTGTCGTCATCGAGGAATTGATCTTGGTTAGGTCGGATGATAAAATGATCGTAGTGTTCGATGGAAGAGTCGTTAGCTCGGGGTGTGGTGAACATTTTTAATAACTTTTTGTATCCTACGTGTGTAAATTGTCGAGGTGTTAATGCTTTAGTTAGTCTGAAAAGGTCATTTTTATTTTTTATTTTTCTTCCGGTGTGTTAATGAGTGGTAAACAAAGTGGGTTTGAGAAGTGATAATATGATGTCCAATGGAGTGTCGGGATTAATACATGCTCATCGACATAGTTGGGTTGTTCAGTGTTAGGGTCGGAGTGAGTATATCTATATTGAGGGAAGAAGGGTAAAAATAATTGAAGATATTTGGTAGTATTTGTATGGTCAGGATGACTTATGTAGTCTCGTGCTATTCCGGGTTTGGAGGTAAATGGATGACTGGGAAATTTTCCTTTAAAAGTTCTGTAAGCACGGTTAGTACTGGATGATGATTGAGTTGATGTTGGGGATTGGGCTAAAGAAGGGGTGTAATTTGAAAAAAGTGTGGGAGTTGTTGGGTTTGATGACGTTATGGTTGATGATATTTGATGAATGGTTAGGTTTTGAGGGTGTTTTAATTGTTGTTGCAGTGTTATTTGGTTGTTTAGTTCGTATGATATCTGTATGTCATCTGGTGAACTGTTGTTTGAGCGTTCATTCATAAAAGGGGAGTATGTTGGTGTCACTTGGGAAAGATGAGAGAGAGAGTAGAGGGGGATTCACTTTAGGCTTGGGAGTGGATGGGTTGAAAGGGGGGTTGAGAAAATGTAGATGGGCTGGGTTCTAAATTATCATATTCGTCAAGGGTTTCTAAATCTGAATTGTTGAACTGGGAGATGGTGTGAAAAACTGTGATGTCTGAGTTAGCATCAGAATCCATGCCGGACGATGTGTTAATGTGGGAAGATTCAGGTGACAGGACAGCAAAAAGTGGGATGATGGGAATTGGGTTTTGGATATTGGCTGGGTGGAAAATTGAGCGGTGAAGGGATCCAACTTAGCGGATCCATCTTTAAACAAATTGATTGTTCTGAGATTGAAAATTTGTGATATGGGGCTGTTCGATTATTTGTTCACATGTGTCGTCACTTTGAGATTGTTGTGTTACTATATGGTGAATTGGACTTTGTATATAATTAGGTCTTGAATTTGTAATATAAAAGAGCGCTAAATTTCTAAAATTTCGTGGTACTAGTGATAATGGGTGATTATGATGTAAATTTGATAATTGTGGTGCTGTTGGTGATGCGTTTGTAGTGTGTTGTGGTTCGTCATATGTGTTTGGTGTAGTTGATATTTTTGTAATATATTCTTTTAATTGTGCATCTGAAAGTATTTTGTTTTTTGATATAAAAAAAATTCCAAAAAATCCTGCCGAAAGTATACGTGCTACGCTTGCTTGTCGGTTTACTTGTGTATGTTTTGCGCATGTGTTATAGATTGCTTTCAATAGAGAGAAAAGAAAACCGATAAAAATAAACATTGCATATAAAATAGTCAATCTTTCTAAAATGTAGTAGGGCCATCCTAGAAAGGCAAGAAATTCCTTTTTCAGATTTACAAAACTAAAAACATTGATTGGTGATATATCCTGTGGTCGATATTTTTCGCCATTTAAATAAATGTAGTCTTTATTATCTTTAAAATATCCGCTGTAATCTTGTGCGCAAATGTCTGAAAATCCTGCTGTTTCTGCAAGTTTGCGTAAATTCTGATCTTTTGATTGCCGTTGTATTGTGTCCATTTTTGTAAGTAGTTCCTGAAAATGTTGTGTACGAATGTGGTGTTGTATGTCTGATTTAGAGTATATGCCGATCAATTGTAAATCGATATTCGGGTTGCGGGCGATAGCCCGAATACTTTCAGGTGAAAACCTTTCCAATGGTTGCATTATTGTTGGATATGGTGTGAGTAGGTAGTATTTGTCTTCGTCGAATTTAGTTGTACAACATTGTGGCTGTTTTCTGATCCACATGGGACTGCTGTATCCCAAAAAAAGTTCTTCGGGAAAGTGTTTCAACAAAACGTATTTTGTTTTTGTGATTCTGGGATTCTTATTGGGATTCTTTAATAGAATCTTTTGTCTTCAAAAACATATAAAGGTGACTTTTTTGGTACAAGTGTAATAGCATAAAATGTTTCCTTCGTAGTTAATATAATTTGATCTGTTAATAATAAATA